TACTGAAAAACAAACAAACAAAAAAGAGGAGCCTCACACGTCTCCCAGGACAAACAGCATAGGCTGGACCTTAGCTCGCCTCGGCCTCGTTCTACCTTCATAGCCCAACGAGAATGCGAAGTTTGGCCCCCCAAGATCCAGGGATCCAGGGTCTTCGCCGAGTTCTAGCCGTTCTTTGCGGCGGTCCCAAACCCCCGGGCGACCGGAGGGTGACATTTTTTCTCTCTCTCTCCTCTTTCTTCTCTCCTCTCTTTCCTCTCTCCCCTAGAAAAGGGGTCCCCGCAAACTCTAGATGCTAACCTTGATCCCGCCGCCGGGCCCCGCCGCTGCCAGGACCCCGCCTGCACCCGGCCCCCGCGAACTTCACCATTCGCCTGCGGGCCGTCCGCGCGGAGGCCCCATCCTCCCGCCGGAGAAAAGCGCATTGGGGTGGAATGGGAACAGCCGGAGCGCCCGAGAAGGGCGCGCACCATCCCCATACGCCCCCCTCCTCGCAGACACCCGGACCCCACCCACGACCATGCACACCAGCGGACTCCCACCTTCATCACTCCCGCGTCCAAACTGGGATCCCAGGGCCCTCGCCTCGTCCGGCCCCCCACCCCGCCGGGCTTTGGGGTCCTCTCCCGCCTAAGCGGAGTTGGGAAGGCGGGAAGGGGAACCGGGGCCGGGGATCGGGTCGTTACCCTCGGTGAGCCGCGGGCTGCCCGGCTCCCTGCTTCTCTCCGCGGCGCCCATGTCCAGCTCCCGGACCGGAGAGCGCCCTCCTCCAGCTCCTCCGCCTCCTCCTCCTCCTCCTCCTCCTGCACCTCCTCCGCCTCCTCCGCCTCCGCCTCCGCCTCCTCCTCCGCCGCCGCCTCCGCCGGCCGCCCGGACTGCCGGGCTGCTGCGGTCGTCGCGGCCCGGCTCCGCGCAGCCGCTCGGATCCTTGGCCCCGCGCAGCGGCCCGCTCTCCAACACCTCCCGGTAGGTGATCGCCTCTTTCTTCTCCTTCACTTTCTGGTCAAAAGACTTGGAGACGAACGCCGTCAGTTCTTCCATCGCCACCGATGCCCCGCAGCCCCGCGCACAACCTCTCACCGCCAAGCCCCGCTCTTTTTTTCCTTCTTCTTTTTTTACTGCTCCAGCCCCCCCAGTAACAACACATCAATGGGGCAGGGGATGGGGTGGAGAGGGAGGAGGAGGAAGAAAGAAGAAAAAGAAGAGAATAAAGAAGAAAGAGAAGTAGAGGAGAAAAAGAAGTAAGAAGAGGAGGAGGAGGAGGAGGAGGAGGAGGAGGAGGAGGAGGAGGAGGAGGAAGGAGGAGGGGAGGAGGAGAAGGAAGAGGGAAGGGGCGGGGGCCGAGGGAAATATGAACTGAGGCTTCGCTGCCGGAGCCCGCTTGTTCAATGTTAAGATCTTTGACAATTCTTCCTGCGGAGAGTTCAGATCTGATAGCGACGCTGCGCTTGAAGTCTCACTATTTATACTTCGCCGAGGCGGCCCCTTGTTCCGAGTAAATTACCTCCCTTCGCAACTCGGAGGGAGCCCCTTCCCGGGAAGCACCCGCGCCGCTACCTGCGGGTGGGGGTGGGAATGGGGGGGGGGAGCAAGAGGGAGAGAGGAGAGAGAGAGAGAGAGAGAGAGAGAGAGAGAGAGAGAGAGAGAGAGAGAGAGAGAGAGAGAGAGAGAGAGAGAGAGAGAGAGAGAAGAGATTAAACTAGAGTCCGTGCAGGCTGGGTCTGGAGTGGGAGGGCAGCGAAGGGGGACGGGAAGGGGCGGGAAGAGGAGGCAGGTCCCAGGCCGTCCGGGTTTTCCGAGAGCCTCGGCCGCCTGCGCACTTGGCCATTAATCCAGGATTGACAAGAATCCCTAATTAATTTAATTAGGCGTGGATTTTGCGTTGGTGTCAAGACTTAGTTAAACACCAGGGAGCTGGACCTACTCCGCCGGGGCGTGGCCAAAAGGAAACTGACAAGTGCGTGGCTGCCGGAGGGAGTCCGGGATCCCGACTCCGCGGCAGACCCCGCATCCCCGCCGGGCTTCTGGGCTGCCCCGCACCCCTGCCCTGCTCCTGCGCCAGGCGCCCCGCAACCCAGTTCCGTGATCCTGACCCGATGTTGCAAGTCTACATCCCCGCTGCCGGCCCGACCCCACCTACACCTCGCAGCCCGGCATCCTGGCTTTACCGCCCACCCTGCCCAGGATACTCTGCAGCTTCCCGGCCCGCAGCCGGAGCTGCGCTGGGTCGTCACCAGCCTCCCGGCCCTGGGGAATTTGTGATTTACCCCGCTGCTGGCGCCCTGGAGCCCAAGCCGACTCCTCCACCGACAGCCCCGCTGGAAGGGCCGGTCAATTTAACACATTTCCCGAGCAGCTGTTCCCTGACAGATTCCATATGAAAGTGTTTCCTTAGCGCCCGATCAAGGACAGTTAGACTTCTTTCCCTCTGGGAGGTTTCGGGACCCTCACCCCAGCTCCCTTATCACTAACTCCCTGTGTCCGGGCCGCTCTCGACATGAACTGCAAGAGCTCTTCTTTAGCAACCTGGAAAACATTCTAGTTGATTTCCTGATTTTGAAAAGCAAGTGATTATCCTTATTGGAATTAAATAAAAAATCAGTGGATGTTAAGTTTGTGCCTCTCTTAATTTTATTTATTGTGGACTATTAAAGAAGCGATGTTCACCGGGAGAAAAGTCTCTCGCTCTCTCCCTGGACTGTTTTCATCGAAACAGTTATGCGGAAGGAATGTCTATATTCCTGAGTCATTTGTCTGTATTGAGCTGGCTGTGAGAAGTGTGGCCACAAATGTATCTCACATAAGAATATTTACATATGGAAAGTTATATTATTTGAGTTTGTAAAAAAATATACCTCTTCAAGTGTAGCTTTGGGGACATTTTCAAAGAGTCTGAGTGTTAATAAACAATGAATGCAGGCTTTCTGATGTGAAAGGTAACTTGGTTCATTTTCTTAGATCTAATACTCCTAGTAAAAATAAAAGCAATTACAAAAACTTTGATATGTTTATCTTCCATCCATTGGTTAAAGCCTCAGCATGAAGTTAACAGGTAATTTGGGAAGTTCCATCAAAGCAACCTGAAACATTTGTAGGAAAAGAACACAATTAAAACTTAATATATTAGTGTTTCTAGGATATCTGTAAATAGAGGCTATACATATCTGTCATACTATACTACTCTTCAGATTTAAATGTTCACAGTTGGCAAACTTGAGATGGAAATCATACTTTTAAGAAGTATTTGCCTTGTATTCTCTTGAATGCTGAAGTTATATTTTGTTCTTAAAACATTTCACTTATTGCTACTTTTAGGAGAAATAATTAAGATCTTTATGTTTCCAGTGCAATACTCTTAGGTATTAATTAATTATATTAGTGCTTGCTTTTATTTTATTATGCTACAAAAGAGACTAAAATACACTTTCCAAAGTTACATGAATTTAGGAACATGGTTTTACTTTGTAATCACTTTAGTCCTGATATTGTGAGAGGGGAATAAGCATAAAACTTTAATCCTTTAAGAAAATCTGTTTTTAAGGTTATTGAGCAGAATGAACAGAAAGAGCTCCCAAACTGAGGTGTTAAATACTATTCACAAATAGCTTCAAAATGACCACTTTAGAAGTCTGGTAAGGGATCAAGACACTCACCAGCTACATTTTTTTTTTTTCATGATTTCTAGGTCTGATCTCAAATTCCATCTACTGAGCTGGAGGGAAAGATGACCATTTTAAAGGTAATCAGAGAAGGTTCAGACAATTGATGTGATTCACACCAAATAGATTTTCCTGGCTCTTTGTATATTTAGGAATAGTGGTGTTGATAGAGTTATGAGAGATCTGCAGTGTCTGATCATGGATTCTACTGGCCTAAGGGAAACCTACTAAAAAAAAAACCACACCAAGGTTTTGAAATGATATGCTAATAAATGCTCATGAAGTTCTAATGAGGTTGTTTTATTAAATAGTAAATGTTTTCCGGAAACAGGGTATTTCAAAATACAGTTTTGGTAAAAAAAAAAAAAAATTGATAGTAAAGCTCAGTTAACAGCCTGCAGACAGGTATACAAGTTCCAATAAAATTCAGGACGCCGAGTCCCCCCAGCTAGTGAATTATTTAAAATAAACATGTAGTGTGGTAGTTAGTTTTAAAACGGTCCCCCTCAAACTGGTTATTTAAGGTACAGTCATTTATGACAAATATATTTCTGGAGCTGATTTTCACCTCTCAAATATCTGCAGAAAACTGTGGTTTGGATATCTAGCGATTCTGAACAAGTTGGTTCTCACAGTTGCCCCAAACCAGGGCCAACAGTTTATTTACCTCCATATCTTTGCGTACTTATAGCAAACAAGGAAAAATGAGGTTTACGCAAGGCCAGATAATTAATGTAGTATGAGTTACAGAAAATGCTTAATCGCGTTAATGTTTATTGATGTAAATAACAACAAACACCTAAACAATTTCTCTTTCAGAAGAAATCTCCTTTCCTTGCCTAGGGCAGCCTTCCCCCCAGTCCTCTGATAACCAGATCCTTTAATGCGAGAAACTAATTTGCAACCAACCTGTGAGTGCCTTCACCTTCAGGGCAGAAGAAACACCGACTTTTAATGCACTTTTGCAAATAAATCATTGCATTTTAATCACACACGACTCTATGCAGACACACTCCCATGATTTATTATTGTTGGGCGAGTTTCCTCCTCGCCCAGCTAGAGATAACCAATTTTGCTACCTGTGTCTTAAACCTAACTTCCTATGATGCAGACTTGTTTACTGATTATCTGTGACGATAACGACGATTACAAAGGCAATTACACGCTTCAGTCCCCACCTTTATTGTTTTTCGGTTATAAGGCAATCAAATAATCAAACAAGCCAGCAAAGCCAACACCAAACAAAAAATTGGCGGCGTGACGATCCATTCCCTCGGCACTCCTAGCGCCTGGTCGCCTCCATCGATGCATTCGGAAGCTCGGCTGCCGCTGCCTGGCGCTGGAACCAGGAAGGCGGTGAGCTTAAACTGAACCAAGTTCGGAGGGCGCCGGCGGCTCCCCGATTTGAAGAAACATTTCCAGGTTTGCGGCGCTTGCAAGTCCACGGGAGGTGTGATCCCGAAGACTGGGAGCCAGGTGATGCCCTCGTCCGGGGCCCGGGAGGAGGCGCCCGCGGCGGCGGGGTTCCGAGGCCTTGCTCCTGCGTGAGGCGGCGGGAGGCGGCGCGGGGCCTGCCGCCGTCTGGGAGGCGGCGGGGGACGAGGGGGCTGGTGCCGCGGTGTGCGGCGCGGGGGGCCAGTGCGCATGCGTCTCGCACCTGGAGGTTTCCGACCCGGGTGTTCGGAGCGGGGGCCCCAGGTGGTGGTTGGCTTTGGGGTGGTGCTAGCTCGCAGGTCTCTGGCGAGGCCCTCAGGCTGGAGGTGGTGAGAGAGAGTTAGTCCACGTTTCCTGCCCTTCCTCGCGCATCCCCTGCTCACCCCACCCCCACTGGCCCCTGCGCTGGGGTTTATGGACCGGCCTTGGCAAAAGTGCCCGGGAAGGTGCGGGGAGAGAGACTGCAGCCTGGTGCACCCTGTCCCACCCCGGCCGGCCGGCCGTGGTCTCTACTTTAGATACACCTTTTCTCCCCCCGTGATTCCCAGCTCACACACTAGCTTGCAGAAAGCAGAGATGGTGCAGGGTGAAATAGACTTGCCTACGTTTAAATACACATTCCCGCTTTAAGCACTCTTCCTTGACGTCAGGGCTTGTGGCCTTGTGATCCTGGATTAAGAGCACATGGCTTACCCTTAAACTGTTTACTTTGGTGGAGGTTATAATGCACCATTACACATATTGACTGCTCTTGATTTTAGGTCAACTAATTTCTCTCTCAGGGGTTATGTATCTTTAAATGCACACTGGAAGCCTAATCTTTTTTTTTTTTTTTTTTTTTTTTTTTTTTGCATTTGCGGAATTAGTAATCTACTTGTGAATCAACTAAACAGATCCTAGGTAGTTTAAATTAATTCAAATGTTTTGTGTTCTCCCCAAAAAGTATTCACGTTGTCATCTCTGAACTTAGATGTAAAAGCTCTAAGTCAGCGGTTCTCAACCTTGGCTGCACATTAGAATCACCTGGGAATCTTTTTAAAATCCTGATTTCTGGGCCTCATCCTCCGGAAATTCTGTTTCTTTGTTACTAATGTTGTGGCCCCCACCCCATAACTAAGAAACAGAATTTCCAGAGGATGAGGCCCAGACATCAGGATTTTAAAAAGATTCCCAGGTGATTCTAATGTGCAGCCAAGGTTGAGAACCACTGCTCTAAGTGAAGGAGATATGCAGAGTTCCCAGGTTAAAGGATTGGAGCTGGAGTTACAGGTGCAACCTTGTGGGGAAACTGGTCATCCTTTGAGAGCCCGTCTAGCCTTAGAGTCTATAAATAGTCACTTTCTTTGCAGGCAAAGGAGATTTCCTGCTAAGTGGCAGCACTGTATTACTGTACGTTCTTCAGTGAAAGGGCTAAAAATGTTGGAAGCTGAAAAACATTGAAGGCAGATGGTGTCTATTAATTGCCTTTCCAACTTGACCAGTTTCAGAAAAGAATGGTGTTACAAGTTGGAAACCCTGTAGTAAGATTGTTATAGTAGATGTACAGATATATTTTCTGCTTTGGTTTTCAAACCATTGGGGAAAAGTCCATGCCCAGTAATGCTTAAAAAAAAAAAAGATATGCTAGTCTGTAGATATTTAGTTGTTACGGGAGGGGGAGTGTTTTGATGATTCTTTTTTGGAGTTTTGCTTTGTTAGGCTTGTTAAGCTAGATTTTTATCTCAGTTCTTTTATTGCCTTTGCATAGTTCTATACTGTTTATGGAGTTCTTATGCTAAATGATATTAACCCCACTTTTACTTTTCTCTGTCTCTCTGAGATGGATTTTCCATTGAAATGACTGCTCTTTTTTTTTTTTTTGACCATGTGTCCAAGATAAAAAAAAAAATTGTAGTTTGATATACTGATGAATGAGTAGTAGAGAAATAATTATAAACTGTCATATCCTCTAGGAATCTTTGTTCTCTCTAACTGCCTGTTTTCCAAAAAAAGGTAACTGTTTTTGTGCCTTTATTAATAACTGAACAAAGGAACTACTTGTGTATGCCTTTGAGCTGTTTGGGCCTACATCTTCCATCATTCACCTAAACTTTGCAATAAGATGTTTTTGTAAATTGATGTCCTACTGTCCTACCAGTCTTGGCTTCAGTTCCGTAGTATGAGTAGTTGGGTAAGGTTTGCAACCATGACACTCAACCAGGATATACTAGAGATTAGAGTTAGAACATAAAACCAAGAGCTGTAGGAGTTCTGACCCTATGCTTTTTTTGTTTTTTTTTTTTGCTTACAGATAGGTTGAAAAATTGTTAGCTTGTGGGATTCCTAAAAATCTGTGCTCAGTCATCATTGCCCTTATCAGAAAGAGCTACTATTAACGTGTCTTTCCATGCATTGCACCTTGACCAATGGAGTTAAATATAAAGACTTCTTTCTTAGTAGGAGGGGGAAATATAAGTTGACCACCATGACTTCAATGAGCAAGTATATTCAGCTACATGCTAGGGACATTATGGAAATCCAGAGGTGAATATATATATAGAGTGGTGAATAAGAGTTCAAAACCTGTCATTGATAGAGAAGACAATATTTGGGTCTACTGATTTGCTCTTAGTGTTGACTTCCTTTTCTGGATAAATATTTGATGTTAAATGTTTTCTCTTACTGAGATTAATATTTCAGTGTAATTTTTCTGAAATGTAAATGTATCCCTTGAAAAAATATTTATAATTTTGTGACAGTGGTTTTTCAACCTTCCCCAATCCTTTCAGGGGATTCAAGAGGTCAAAACTATTCTCATTATAATACTCATATATGACTTACCTTTTCCCCTATATTGACTTTTGCACTGATGATGTACAAGCAATAGTAGACAAAAGTCAGAAAAAAACAAGTAATATGAAGTAATAATATACATAATTATATTGAAGGCTTAAAAATATGAAATTTTCTTTACAGACCCAAAATATGAATAGAAGGCAATGTACCCTTTCATCTCCCCCAAACTGAGATGCTATTGCTCAGGTGTCCTACAGATCCCATTTTGAGAACTGCTGTTATAATAGCATATAAGCTCCTTGAGGGCAAGGATTTTTGTCTCTTGTTCACTGATGTATCCCTTATAGCTAGGCCTGCTTTCATCCTGGGATGTTTTACCTATCTCTAGTGTTACATTCCTTATTTTTTTGATCTGGCTTGCCTTTGTTGGTTTGCTGTTTGCTTTTGGTGGAATGTGAGGTATAATTTTGGGGCTGCATATCTGAAAATGTCTTTATTCTGATCTTTTATTAGATCAGTGATTGGTCTGGATATAGATTCTATGTTGAAAATCATTTTCATTTAGAATTTTGGACACAAGTCTCCATTGTTTTCTATATATTGCAGTTTAGAAGTCCTGTTCCTTTTATTATGATTTCTCCATTTTTTTCTCTGTAGAAGTTTCTGGGATCTTCTATATATTCCTAGTGTCTGAATTTTTATGAGATATGTCTGGTTTATGTCATTTAAAATTAATTGTTCCAGGGACTTTTTACCTCCTATTTTTAATCTTTTTCTTACTACTTTTTACCTCCTGATTTTAATCTTTTTCTTACTACTTTTTGTGAGTCATTTGAACTCATCTTCTAATTTTATTGTATTTTTTTTACAAGTTATCATATTTTATTTTATTTATTTTATTTTTTTAAAATATGTTTTATTGATTTTTTACAGAGGAAGGGAGAGAGATAGAGAGTTAGAAACATCGATGAGAGAGAAACATCGATCAGCTGCCTCCTGCACATCTCCTACTGGGGATGTGCCCGCAACCCAGGTACATGCCCTTGACCGGAATTGAACCTGGGACCTTTCAGTCCGCAGGCCGACGCTCTATCCACTGAGCCAAACTGGTTTCGGCTACAAGTTATCATATTTTAAATTTCCAGCTTTTTCTTCTGTTCTATGGATGTTCCTCCTATTCTTGTTTGCTGGATCTGAGGAAATTAGCTGTGATATTTTCCTTTAATTTTCTTCTGCATGTTCCTGGTTTACTACGAGTTTTTTGTTTTGTTTTGTTTTTCCTTTCTGTCTCTTATAATGAAGGCTTTCATCACGTGATTGGTTATCCTCCCCTCCCCCCTATCTAATAATCTATAAAAAGTTAACAGAAAAATTGTTTACTGAAAAATGTTTAAGGCTTGGACTTATTAACTGGTGGGCTTGGTTATAGGTGATTGGGCAAGGGCCTGGCCATTTTTTTCTTTGGGGGGGGGGCGTTGGCGTACCTTCAAATACTTGTAGTATATCTTTTTCAGCTACTGTTCAGTTTTTGCATAGATGAATCCTCTGCCAGAACGATCTTGGATCCAACTAATGGTACAGTATTTACCATTAGTTGTAGACTTTCATGTCATTCTTTTCACTTTTAGGTTAGCATCTCTCTGCCCTCGTTTATTGTGCCCCTGGATCTGGTGCTTTATTATTTTGCCATTTTTACTAAATAAATCACCTCTCCTGGGATTGGGAAAGAGTAGTCACCTGTCTGGGTTGCATGGGGAAGGGGACCTGGGAGATTACTGGTTTTATAGACTTTCATCCAGTTCCTTTGATTTTTAGTTCCACGCATCTTTGTGTCCACTGTGGTAAGTGGTATCTTAAATTCCTATCCTTTCTGATTTTTGCTATGTAAAGTGGCTTTTCTCATTTTGGAATTCTCTGCAGTTGCTGGTATTCGGCTCTCATAGGTCTAAATCCTCCATATGTTTTTCATTTGCTAAAAATTTGTTGACGTATCTTGTTTACTGTTCCTTCTGTCTTCTCTTGTAGTCTGTGTATCCTTGTGAATTTATATTTTTTATCTTTATATTCTCATTTTAGTATTTTTTTAACAAGATAATAAGAACATCAAAGCTCTTGTTAAATGGTTATTTGTGGGTAAAGAACATTTTTAACTGCTTAAAAGTGAAAACAAGAATGGAAGAAAAAGCCAGGAAATAAGAAAACTTTCAGTGGTTCTCAACCTTCTGGCCCTTTAAATACAGTTCCTCATGTTGTGGTGACCCCAACCATAAAATTATTTTCATTGCTACTTCATAACCATAATGTTGCTATTGTTATGAATCGTAATGTAAATATCTGATATGCAGGATGGTCTTAGGCGACCCCTGTGAAAGGGTCCTTTGACCCCCAAAGGGGTCGTGACCCACAGGTTGAGAACCGCTGAACTAAGGTAATTCCTAAATGTTAGTTGCAAAATCATAAAAATCCTAGAAAAAGACATATGCAGTAAAATCTCAGACATCTGACATAGCAATATTTTTGCCAGTATGTCTCCTAGGGCAAGGGAAGCAAAGGAAAGAATAAATAAATGGGATTACATCAAACTAAAAAGCTTCTGCACAGCTAAGAAAACCATCAACAAAATGAAAAGGGAACCTACTCTATGGGAGAACATATTCCCCCATGATAAGGGATTAATTTCCAAAATATATAAAGAACTTATACAACTCAACACCAGGAAGACAAACAACCCACTTAAAAAAATGGGCAAAGGACTTGAATAGACATTTCTCTAAAGAGGACATACAGATGGCCAATAGACATATGAAAAAATGCTCAATGTCACTAACCATCAGAGAGATGCAAATTAAAACCACAATGAAATACCACCTCACACCTGCCAGAATGGTTACCTTCAGTAAATCAACAAACAGCAAGTGCCGGCGAGGTGTGGAGTAAAGGGATCCCTAGTGCATTGTTGGTAGGAACGCAGCCACTGTGGAAAACAGTTTGGAGTTTCCTCAAAAAGTTGAAAATGGAACTGCTTTTCAACCTAGTGATCTCACTTCTGGGAATATATTCTGATAATTCCAAAACACCATTGGTAGATGAGTGGATAAAAAAGCAATGGTACATTTACACAATGGAATACTACGAGGCTATAAAAAGAAAGGATCTCTTACCTTTTATGACAGCATGGAGATTATTATGCTAAGCAAAATGAGCCCGTCAGAGAAAGACACATATCATGTGATCTCACTTGTACAATCTAATGAATAAAATAAACTGACAAAATAGAACCAGAGACATGTGTTCTTGGTACAGACTGACAGATGTCAGAGCGGAGGTGCATAGGGTAGATAGGGTGAAAGAAGGTGAAGAGAATAGCCAAAGAACATACATGCAAAGCCCATGGACACATAAAACAATGTGGTCAGCGTTATAGGGAGAGGAGGGCAGAGTCTGGGGGAAAAGCAAAGGGAATGTAAATGAGGGACCTCTATAATAAAGTTAACAATAAAAATATAATTTGAAAAAATTCTTTAACTTCTATTTCTGTATATTTTTCCTTTTGTATACTAAATGTAAAAGCATTACCATAGCCATATAGAAAATATTTTTTTTGTTTTTTTTTGAAAATATGTTTAAAAAGAAAAAAACGTTACCCAGTTTTATCACTTAAATATTACCAGTTTTTATTTTTGCTCTTACTCATATGTACATATTTTTAGAAATTGCAGTCTCTATAGAGACAGTTTTAATAATGGTATAATGGATATCTTTGTGATTATATTTTTTTAAGAAAAAGTTTTCAGATACATTCTTAGAAGTAGAATTGCTTTGTGACAAAAAAATAAACATTTTTTATGACTCTATATTTAAATTGTTAATTGCTTTCAGGAAGGAATATACCACCACTTTACTAGCAGTGTGAAGATTTGACCGACTTCACAATAACCTCATCAACTTTGTTACTTAAGTTAACATTTCTTCTCCCAAATTTCACAAGTGAAATGATGATAGTATATTATTTCATTTTGTACTCTGTTGATGACTAGTGAGTTTTTATCCATTTAAAAATGTAGAATTTTCAGTTAGAAAAAAGTAATTCTAAAAGATAGTAAAATATGTGTTATCTTTAGGGAATGTGAAAATGAAGGATTAGGTAGTTGATCCCTAAACCAAATATTATGTAATTAATCATAACTGCAACTTAAAATATAAGAAAATTGTCATAATGAGCTGTCCTCAGATTGACTCTTTTGAGAGACATTTGGAAAAATTTAGGATAAATTTAAGTTGTTCATAAATTATAAAAACAGTTACTAAATTATAAAAACTGAAGACTGTATTAGAGATTTTTTTTTATATTCTTGTCAAGAAGCCAGGTACATTTAAAATTTTACTTTAAGACTAAAAATTTTTGCAAAGTTTAAAAAAATTGCTATATTAAATTTTGTTGCAGCCCAGTTAGGGCTAGTCTCCATGGTGCCGTATGTTAGTAATAATTTTCTTTGAATTTAAACTTGTAGAAATGGGACGCCGTTCATCAGATACTGAAGAAGAAAGCAGAAGCAAGAGAAAAAAGAAACATCGTAGACGGTCATCTTCAAGTAGTTCTTCAGATAGTAGAACATATAGCCGAAGGAAAGGTGGAAGGAAATCCAGGTCAAAGTCAAGATCTTGGTCCAGAGATCTTCAGCCTCGTTCACATTCTTATGATAGAAGGTGATTCTCATAACTTTTACTTATGTAGTAACGAGACTACATTCTTTCAAGTTCTTATATTTTTGTACTTGTAATTTTTCTGGGTAAAACATTTTTCTTTTAGTAGTTATATAGTTATGAAGGTTAAGTCCCAAGCCAGAGGTGTTTTGTTCTGTTTTTCCAGGCCCATCCCATGGGTTCAGTGTCTTTCTCCTTTGTCTGTTTTTTTGTAGACAAGTAAGTATAAACTAGCTTAATTCTCAAACTATGTTATCTGATAACATTTGGAAGGATTGTATACTACTTAACACCTCCAAGGTCTTAATTTGTAGTTAATTCAATCACTAAATTATGAAATTAGTCACCTGATTGTTCAAGAGCAATAACATTTTATCTCTTTTTGCTTTTAAGAAGGTGTAAGACAGTAAAAATGAGACAATTCTATAGAATCTAGGTGATTTCTCCTTAATGCTCATACAAAATTTTTTTATAGCAATGATACTTAATTATATTTTATTTCAGACGGAGACATCGATCAAGCAGTAGCTCTTCTTATGGCTCTAGAAGAAAACGAAGTCGAAGTCGTTCAAGGGACTGGGGGAAATCCTATAGAGTTCAGAGGTCTAGGTCAAAAAGCAGAACAAGAAGGTATGCCATCAGATATTTATTGCTCTGTAACACACTATCCTCACATTTAGTGATCTAAAGCAACAGTCATTTATTTTCTCAAGATTTTACAATTTTGACCTGAGCTCAGCTGGCAGTTTTTCTGCTAGTGTCATCTGGGTCACTCCTGTGGTTGTAGTTATCTGATAGCTTAACTGGAACTACATGGTCCAATGTAACCTCAACTCAGGCATTTGGTATTGGCTTTTGGCTATTGTCTAGGGTGCTTTAGTTCTCCTGTGGTTTCTCATCCTCCAGTAGGCTAGGCTGGGCTTTTTCACATGACGGGGAAAGTATTTCAAGAAGGTAAGAGCAGAAGATGCAGGATCTCTTAAGGTCTAGCCTCAGAAATAACCCAGTGTGATATGAAGTAAATGTTCATGTCCCTACCCCCAGCTACCCCCTCCCACCCAATTCGTATGTTGAATCCCCAATCCCCAATATAACTGAATTAGGGTCTTTATGGAGGTAATTCGGGTTAAATGAGGTCATAAGGGTAGGACCCTAATCCAGTAGGGCTGGTGGGCTTACAAGAAGAGGCAGACTGTTCTCGCTCTTTGAGTGTGAATTTAGAGGAAAGGCCACGAGAAGACAGTGAAAAGTCAGCCATCTACAAGCCAGGAAGAGCCCTTACCAGAAACCAGATCAACTAGTATCTTGATCTTGGACTTGGAGCCCCCGAACTATGAGAAATAAATTTACGTTGTTTAAAACTGCTCAATTTGTGGTATTTTGTTGTAGCAGCCCGAGCTGATTAATCTGCGTTGTCACTCCATCTTTGTTTTCTTGTCTTGATCAAGGGCCAATAATACAGAGGATAGCTTACCTGGAAAGAGTTGTACATGTTGGGCAATGGTTGAAAATACGGTTGAATAGGATGGGGACCATGGTATTGAGGGATTTGATAAAAGTAGGTGTTCAGAAGTTATTGAAAGTTTTTGAGCAGAAGAGTGTTAGTATAAAAACAGGAATTTAGTAAGATCAGCTGCTTTTTTCTGTTCTTCTATTAGATTCTAGCTGTGGGGGCATAGTAGCAGCCTGATTTTGTTATCTAGGCATAAAATTTATAAATCTCTATGAATCTGAAGTTGGATAATGGTAATAAAGTCCAGATGTTTAGCTTTTCTGACCTTGTAGTGTTTGGATTTAGTCTCCTCTTTTTATTTTTTATTTTTAAATATATTTTATTGATTTTTTTTTTTACAGAGAGGAAGGGAGAAGGATAGAGTTAGAAACATCGATGAGAGAGAAACATCGATCAGCTGCCTCCTGCACACTCCCCACTGGGGATGTGCCCGCAACCAAGGTATATACCCTTGACCGGAATCGAACCTGGAACCTTTCAGTCCGCAGGCTGACGCTCTATCCACTGAGCCAAACCAGTTAGGGCTAGTCTCCTCTTTTTAGTACATACTCCCTATTTGGACTTAGTCTCCTCTTCTTAGTACACACTCCATTAATAAGCTACTCTGTATTGTATGCCTTTGTTCTCTATACATATTCCTGGGTTACTAGCTTTGTTTTTTTGAGCATGCTTTCTTTCAGTTTCTTGCAATCTTTAGTTCTCTTTTTCCTTAAATCCTTTTTTGATGTTTATCTTTGCACTCCCAAGTCAAGTTTAATCCATTCTTTCTCTTACCCACCATTACATATAGTTCCTGATATGTAATAGTTATAGTATGAATGTTATGTCTTTATTATACTCATATATTATAAACTCTTACAAGGGAAATCTTTTGGTACCTAACACAATACCTTGCTTAGTAAACATGTCTTGACTGGCTCATTAACTGGGGAAATGAAGTTAGGTAGAGAGCTGTTTTTTTAGTAAGGAAAAGTTTTATTGTTTATTGATTTGTAGAAGGAAAGCTTTATTTTAGATGTATTGATTTGTCTAAAAGGAGGCTGATTACCAGAAATCAAGGTCAGTTGAAATTTTCTGTCAGTGGGAATAGAAATAATAATCCATGCTTTTATATGTCTTTTTCAGGTTATAGACTATTTTCACATACCTTGAATCAATCAACCAGAATTTGATTAGGGAAACAGAAGGCAATGAATTCCAAGCAGTGGGATTTTAATATAGGGATAAAGGCCTATGCAACCTTTGGAAGGGCTGAGGGAATTAGGGACACTGTCACTGATTAATTCTGCCTGAAGTATTAAAGCTGGTTGTTTTCTCAAGTCACTGGAAATCTTAAGAACTTTCTAGGTTTGTAGCAACAGAATGAGTGGTTCTCAAGAAACTACCCACCTGGAAGCTGCTTCTCTGTCCAACTCTGTACCTACAACTACCTCCAGAGGAAATCTGGAAACGTTAATTTCTTTTCCTTTGCAATGCAAGGAAGAACTTAAAAGTAATGGCAGTAATGTCTAGTCAACAGCACACATGTTTAGCAATCTGCGTTTTATACTATGTCAGGCTCTCTATTCTATTCCATTTGTCTCTGTGTCTGCCAGCATTATATAGTTTTGATTACTGTAGCTTTTTAATATATATTTTGAAATTAGGAATGTGAGGCCTCCAGCCTTGTTCTTTCTCAAGATTGCTTTTGTGTATTTAACAATTCTTGAATTCAAGGGATGAATCCAATTTGGTTATGGTATATAATTGTTTTACTGTGCTGTTGAACTTAGTTTGCTAGTATTTTTTTGAGGTTTTTGTGTCAGTATTAATCATGGATATTGGTCTGTAGTTTTCTTATAATATATTTGTCTGGCTTTGGTATCAGGGTAATAATGCTAGCTCATAAAATGAGTTTGGATGAGCTCCCTCCTCTTCAATTTTTTGGAAGAGTTTGAGAGGGATTGGCCTTAATTCTTATTTAAATGTTTGGTAGAAATTCTCCAGTGTAGCCATGTAGTTGTGGGCTTTTCTTTGTTGGGAGGTTTTTGATTACTGATTCAATCTGTTTGTTATAGCTCTGTTCATATGTTTGTTTCTTCATGATTTAGTCTTGGTAGGTTGTATATATTTAGGAATTTATCTATTTCTATAGGTTGTCTCATAACCGTGTTTATTGCTTGGTTTCAATTTTAATGCTTTCTCTCTAATATCTGATTTTAGTTTTTGAATCTCCTTGTTTTTTCTTAGTTAATCTAGTTAAGGGCTTACCAATGTTGTTGATCATTTCAAGAAACAAATTCTTGCCCTAATCAGTTTGGCTCAGTGGATAGAGAGTCAGCCTGCGGACTGAAAGGTCCCAGGTTCGATTCTGGTCAAGGGCATGTACGTTGGTTGCGGGCACATCCCCAGTAGGAGGTGTGCAGGAGGCAGCTGATCGATGTTTCTCTCTCATTGATGTTTCTAACTCTCTATCCCTCTCCCTTCCTCTCTGTAAAAAATCAATAAAATATATTTTAAAAAAAGAAGCAAATTCTTAGTATTATTGCTTTTTTAAAAATATTGTTTTTCTATTCCCTCTTTTTCTGCTCTAATCATTATTAATCCTTCCCTTCCTTCTGCTAATTTTCGGTGTAGTTTGTTCCTCCTTTACTAGTTCCCTGAGATGTAAAGCTAGGTTATTGATTTGAGATCTTTCATCTTTTTTAATGTAGGCATTTCTAGCTATTAACTACCCTCTTATCCTACCAGACCTGAGGCCCTGAACCTAACTGTCCCCTATACCTGGGCTCCTGAGCATTAAAGAGAAAAAAACCAACATGATATAGAAAAATGTTAGTTACATGCAAACAAGTGGTTAGAATAAGATGGAACTTGGAGACATTGTAGAAAATAGGTCTACCTTTCATCTACCTTTCATCTAGCGCCAGTATTCCACCTTTGAGTGGAAATTACCGAAAAATTGGTACAGCGGTCTGGCAGGGTTAAAACTGCTTTTGTTGCAGCCCATAAGTTTTGGTGTGTTATGATTTCATTTTCATTTGTCTCGAGATATTTTCTAATTTCCCTTGTGATTCCTTTGTTGAGTCATTGATTTTTCAACAATAAGTTGTTTAATTTCCACATATTTATGGATTTCCCAGTTTTTCTGCTGCTATTGATTTCTAGTTTCATTCCATTGTGGTCAGAAAATATAGTTTGTAAGATTTCAATCTTCTTAAATTAGTTTATGTGTGTCATGAGATGAAAAAGGTTGAAAATCTCTGATTTAGACAAATGTGTAATGACATGTATCCATCAGTATAGGTTCATACAGAGTAGTTTCAGTGCCCTAAAAATACTCTGTGCTCTGCCTATTTCACCCCATCTCCCTAAGCTGTGACACCCACTGATCTTTTTACTGTCTCCATAGTTTGCCTTTTCCAGACTGCTATACGGTTGGGATCATGCAGTATTTAGCCTTTTCAGATTGGCTTCTACTTAGTAGTATGTATTTTGGTTTCTTCCATGTATTTTCATGGCTTTGATAGCTCATTTTTTTTTAGTACTATACAGGTTTCCTCACTATCCAAACGTAGAATATTCCTATGAAACATTTCATAATAGTGCAAAGGGCCATGTGTATCCCCAGGTTTCTGAAAGTTCGAGTTATGCCATTTTGCTTTTATGAAGATATATATTGGTACCTGTTTTTGCTAACCAAAATAAATCTGATGAAATTGCTTTTTTTTTTTTATCCTCACCCGAGGATATATTTTTTTCATTGATTCTAGAGAGAGAGGAAGGGGAGAGGGAGGGAGAAAGAGAGAGAAAGAAAAACATCAATTGATTGCCTCCCATATGCGACCTGACTGGGAATCAACCGGAAACCTGCGTATGTGCCCTGACCAGGAATCAAACCCGAGATCCTTTGGTGCATGGGACAGTGCTGCAACCAATTGAGCCTCACCAGCCAAGGCTAAAATTTGGACTTTTAGATAAAAGTCATTGTGTATTAATGTAGATCTTTGGTAAAAGTGAAGTGGCATAACTTAAACTTTTGGAAAGTGGGGGATTCCTGTATAATATTTCATTGTCTGGATGTACTACAGCTTATTTATCCATTTACCTGCTGAAGGACATATTGATTGCTTTCAGG